GACAACCTAAGTGGAGAGACACTTTATGAATTTCAAGACTCAACATACTAAAGAGGTTGTTTTGACTAAACAATTAAAGAGGCCTACTAAAGAGGCTTTTTTGCCACTGTGACTAAAAGACCTGAGCAGAACAATTGTAGAGGAGGAAAAGTTTATTTGGGTGCTCACAATTTCAGAGGTCTCAATCCATAGATAGCTGGCTCCATTCCTTGAGGCTCCAGGTGAGGCAGAACATCATGATAGAGGAGTACGGCAGAGGGAAGTAGCTCACAAGATGATCAGGAAGCAGAGAAAGAGAGACTCCACTCACCAGATAAAAATATATGCCCCCAAAGCCACACCCCCAGTGCCCCTACCTCTTATAGCCACATCCCACCTACCTTAAATTACCACTCAATCCCATCAGGTGATTAATTCACTGATTGTGTTAAAGCTCTCATAACCCAATCATTTCTCCTCTAAACCTTCTTGCATTATCTCACACATGAGCTTTTGAGGGATGCCTCACATTAAAACCACAACAGAGGTCAATTCTCCTCAAAATTTATATACAATATACAATTCCTATCAAAATGTATGGAAGTTTTTTTGTAGATGTAGACAAGATTATTCTAAAATGTATATAGAAATTCAAATGAACTAAAAAAAACCTAACAATTTTGAAAAAGAAAATGGGAACAATCACTCTATTCAGTTTCAAGATTTATTAATATAGGTATACTATATGACCAAAAGTGCTCTACAGATTATACAGATTTAATGCAATTCCTATTAAAATTCCAATGACGTTCTTCATAAAAATAGAAAAAGCAGTCATAAAATGAATTTCAAAAAATAAAAAGCCCAGAATAGCCAAAGCAACCCTTAGCAAGAAAAGAGAAACAGGAGGCATCACAATACCAGACCTTAAATTATACTACAGAGCCATAGTAACAAAAGCAGCATGGTATTGGTACAAAAACAGAAATGAAGACCAACGGTACAGAATAGAAGACATGGAGACAAACCTACATAAATACAGTTACCTCATACTAGACAAAGGCACCATAAACATACATTGGAGAAAAGATAGTCTCTTCAACAAGTGGTGCTGGGAAAACTGGAAATCCATACGTAGTAGAATGAAATTTAACCCCTATCTCTCACTCAGCAGAAAACTCAATTCAAAGTGGATCAAGGATTTAGTCATTAGACTAGAGACCCTGTGAAACTTGAAGAAAAAAAAAGGCCCAAATCTCCATCATGTCAGCTTAGGAACCAAATTCCTCAACAAGATTCCAAAAGTGTAAGAAGTTAAATCAAGAATCAATAAATGAAGCCTGGCATGGGGTTGTGGCTCAGTGGTAGATCACTTGCCTAGCATGTGTGAGGCACTGGGTTTGATTATTAGCACCACATATAAATAATTTTTAAAAAAAAACAAAGGTCCATCAACAACTAAAAAGTTTTAAAAAATTTTTTAAAAATTAATAAATGGGATGGTATCAAACTAAAAATGTTCTTCACAGCAAAGGAAACAATCAAAAATGTAAAGAGAGAGCCTACAGAATGGGAGAAAATCTTTGCCAACTGCACCTCAGATAGAGCATTAATCTTCAGGGTATATAAAGAGCTCAAAATGCTTAACACCAAAAATCCAAGTAACCTAATCAATAAATGGGCTAAGGAACAGAACAGACACTTCATAGAAGAAGAAATACAATCAGTCAACAAGTATATGAAAAAAATGTACATCTCTAGCAATTAGAGAAATGCAAATTAAAACTATACTGAGATTCCATCTTACTCCAGTCAGAATGGCAATTATCAAGAATACAAGCAACAGTAAATGTTGGCAAGGGTGTGGGGGGAAAAGACACACTCATACATTGCTGGTGGGACTGCAAATTGGAGCAGCTGATTTGGAAAGCAGTATGGAGATTCCTCAAAAAACTTGGACTGGAACCACCATATGACCCAGTTATCCCACGCCTCGTTTATACCCAAAGGACTTAAAATCAGCATACTATAGTGATGCAGCCACATCAGTGTTTATTGAAGCTCAATTCCCAATAGCTAAGTTATGGAACCACCCGAGGTGTCCTTCAATAAATTAAGGGATAAAGAAGATGTGGTATATACACACAATGAAATGTTACTCGGCCATAAAGAAGAGTGAAATTATGGCATTTGCTGGTGAATGGATGGAACTAGAGACTGTCATGCTAAACGAAATAAGCCAATCCCAAAAAAACAAAGGCTGAATATTTCCTCTGATATGTGGATGCTAACATATAATAAGTGGGGGAGGGAATAATAGAAGATCATTGGATTAGACAAAGGGGAATGAAGGTAAGGGAGGGGGATGGGAATAGGAAAGACAGTAGAATGAATTGGACAGTACTTTCTTATGTTCATATATGAATACATGACCAGTGAAACTCCACATCATGTACTAAAGAATGGAATCCTAATTAGGAAAAGTTATATTTCCATGTGAAAATACACTCTAATGTTGTATATATCTGAAAAGAACAAATAAAAAAAGAAAAAATAGGTATGATAATTAAGACTATGGTGTTGACAGAGGAATAGATACATAGATCAATGAGAACCCAGACATAGCCACACACAAGTACAGACAACTGATTTTTGACAGAGGTACAAAAGCAATATCAATGGAGGAAGAATAGGGTTTTAAAAAAATGGTGCTGAAGCAAGAAATGAACTTTGACCTAACCTCATACAAAAATTAACTCCAAATCATCATAGATTTAAATGTAAAATATAAAATCATTAAGCTTTTATAAGAAACTATTGAAGAAATATCCTCAGGGCATAGAGCTAGCCCTAGTTCTTATATTGTTTAAAAAAAATATAATTGGAAGGACATTAGACTGTGGTAGCTCTGGCACTTTAACTTTCTACATGAACAAACCAAAGCTCAACGTAAACAGTGAATTGAAATTAGAATCTGTATTAATCAGAAACCACAAACTAACCTATAACAAGCAACTTGCCACTGTAACTAAGCAAAATTGGTTTTTTCCTTTTCTCTTGCAAACACTTTATCAAAGTTCCCTTTGGTCCTTCCTGGAAAAGTCCTAGACATCTGAGATATGGTTCTACTTTGATCAATGAATTGCTGAATGCAATTCATAACTTTTTCTCTGCTAAAAATTCAAGAGAATGAGACTAGTTACTGCCTAGGAGAAAATATGTGCAAGCTACATATGTGTGTGAACTTTTTGTTGCTGTAGCAAATACCTGAGAAAATAATCTTATAAAGAGAAAAGGTTTCTTTGGGCTTAAAGTTTTGGAGGTTTCAGCCCATGGTCAATTGGCCCCATGCTTTGGGGCCTGTGACGAGGCAGCACATCATGGCAGGGAGCACATGGTGGATCAAAACTTCAGAGTGCGGAAGCAAAAGAGAGAGGAAGAGGAAGAAACCCACCATCCCACAATCTCCTTCAAGGGCTCAACTCCAGTGACCTAAAATCTCCCTCTAAAGCCTTACCTCTTAAGTTTTCCATCATTATCCAATAGTGCTAAAAACTGGGGATCAAGCTTTTAACACATGGGCCTTTCAGATCCAAACTATAGCACTATGTATCCAACAAAACAAGATCTAGAATATATATTAAAATCTCAAAAATCAACAATAAAAAAAATAAATGTGAACTGAGGCTGTGGCTCAGGAGCACTTGCCTAGCATGTAGGATGAAGTCCTGCGTTCAATCCCTAGCAACACACAGAAATAATAATAATAATCTGACCAGACATTTTGCCAAAGAGGGTACACAGATGGCTAATAAGCATATTTTTAATCACAAAGAACTGCTTTTATCCTGTTCTTCCCACTGATGTTTAGAAAATCTCATCGCTTCTCTTGAGGCCATTCTCATCCCTTGTCACCTCCCTTTTCACCTTTCTGGGCCCCATCTTTCTGTGCACTCTCTTATGTTCTTAAACTGACCAGGTAATCAAGCTGCAACCCCTAGCAGGAGGTCAGGCAACCTACCTTCCCTAATTTAGTGCTTGTAGGCTCACTCTGGTTCCAAATTAGCTCTCTCATCTACTCCATGCTGTGAACCTTATCTTGGTATCCAGAGGAAGGCAATCCCAGGGCAGTTCAATCTTCCCAAGTCAGGCCAGGTGCTGAGAAGTGAGGCAGGGTGGCAAAGTAAAGAGGGGCTTTCAGGCTTCGGGAAGAGGGACCAGTGCAGGTGGGTGTAGGCAGGGGGCTCTTTCTGACACTTCCCTCATCAGCCTATAGAGGCCATGAGATTCTATTCCCCACTATTATTCTTACGTCAGCAAGAGAAAATGGACTAAGCTAAGGTTTTTCCATTTCCTAAGCAGCAAAAAGCCTTGACCTTTCCTATCAGTTTAAAAGTGCCACTTTATGGCCAGCAAATTAACCTCTAGTTATTTCACAGCTAAATATAGTAAAGGTAGGGAAAATATGACTGGTTAAAGGAAAGGACAGATTGTCCTGTACAGAAGAGAACAAAAATTGATGTGTGTGTGTGTGTGTGTGTGTGTGTGTGTGTGTGTGTAATCCTTAGGGGCAGATGTAACCAGATTTAAAGCAGTAGAGGGCGGGGGCCATCAGGATTCTTTGAAACTCCCAGGTGGAACCTAGGTCGGACAGACATCCTGCATTAACCTTTCCTGCCCAGCTGGGATATCCTGTGTTTGTCGAAAGGACCACACGGGGAAACTGTGACCATTGTCCTTCCCGAAATCTGCCAGTGAGCCCCTCCCTAGGCTGAGGCAGCCACCACAGGCAGAGGAAGAGTAGCTCTGGAAACATGTTATCAGCATCCTCCATGGACTTCCTCACCCTCTCCCCAGCCTCATTAGCCCCATGCTCCTCAGCATCCTCAAACACAAACCTGGGAGGCCAGGATGGGGTCAGCACCCTGAAACCAGCTGCCTCTGACAGCTTCCTCTCTGGCCAAGCCTTGCCTCTGTACAGCCCAGAGTGGGCAGCTGAGGCTGCAGGCACAGCCCAGAGCCCAGGATGGAACTCCGGCCAGGGCCCGAGGCTGCCGCTCTCCGTCTGGGCTGGCTGGCCCTGCTGCTCTTGTGGATCTCAGCCCTGAGCTATTCTTTCTCCTCACCAGCTTCTCTCCCTCCTTCTCCGGTGCCCCGAGTCCGAACCAGCTACAATTTGGGAAGGACATTCCTCGGTCTTGATAAATGCAATGCCTGCATCGGGACATCTATTTGCAAGAAGTTCTTTAAAGAAGAAATAAGGTCAGAATCTCAACCAAATAACTCTAAGGGGAAAAATCTGTTCCCTTCATGTAAAGATGGCCAGGACTTTGTTGAATATGAACTGGGATGTGATTTATGGGTGGGAGCTAAAATCAAGCCATTTAATGATAGTGGTGATTGTTCGAAGTTGAGATGGGTAGGAGAGCAAGGGCTGAAGCCAAATAGCAGCCAGGAATGCTCATCCCAAAAGTTCCTTTTAAATTAAAAGCTTAAAGTTCCCTTTTCTATGAATGGAATAGCCTGGGGCTATTGAGTTCAACAAATTTATTTCTCATAGTGGGGGGAATAAAATTCATAGAAAACCTACTATGTGGCAGACATTTTAAACCACCCTGGATGTTAGTGATTTGCACCCATTATTCAGATAGTGAACTGAGACAGCAAGATTAAGTGACTTGCTCAAGGGTACCATCTAATAAGTGGCAGATCTGGGATTCAAGCCTGGACAATTTGTTCCAAAGTTTTAGAGCCAGTTTCCTCTTTTGAGGTGTTGTCTTGATGAGAGTAAAATTGGGTTTGTTTTTTTTTTTTTTTTTTTTTTTTTGTGATACATTTTTGGCTCTCACCAAAGAATGGTATCTGGAATTTGAGCCTATTAACACAGTCAGTGCCCAGGTACCAAAGCAAGATCTAGCAGGTGCTATGGTAACTGCCACTATAAGTGGTCCCTGCACTCTATTGGGTCAGGAAAAGGGAGCCATGTTACAGATAATTATAAGATGTGGTATGATGCAGGCCAGTATAGAGAACTTTCAGGAGTCCTCCAGGAGGTTCAGGGAGGGGACATTAATTCAAAATGGAGACTGTGAAAGTAGTTCTGGGGGTGGGGGATTTTGAGCAACATCTTTAAAACTGAGCTGAAATTTCTTGGGAGGGGAAAGGCAGAAGGCAGAAGAAGCAGATCAAGAAGAAGACCAGAAGGTGGAAAGGGGTTAGAGGTTCTTAAGAACCTTCTTTGGAGCACAAAACCTATATGGAGGTTTGGCAGACAGAAGGTTGGATGGGGCATGGGACTTGAATGACATACCAAGGAACTGAAACTTTAACCTGGGGGTTAGTGGTTCCCAACCTTTTCAGTACCAAAGACCCTTGAAATATACCCTTTTCCTCTACCCTCCCCCAAGGCCCTACTTTATACTCATAAGATTCAGTGACCAAACTAAAGGCATAAACAATAATTTTATTACCAACCTGTATTAACCAAAAACATATTTGATTAATCAATTAAATCACTAAACAGATATAATGAAAAACTACTGATCAAAAATATTTGACTTATTTTGAGAGACCACAGATATTTTAGGAAATTCATGTGAAGGTTTCCTATTAAACCTTTTTTAAGACATGTTCAAATATTGAAAATTGAAAGAGCCACAACTGGGGCAACTCTGTAGCTGGCACTAGTGAAGGGAAAATGAGATTTGTGTTTTGGGAAGATCTCATGGAAAGCAGCATGTAGGATAGACTGGGGTTACTGGCAGGAGCTCTGAGACGAGTTCACATAGTCCAAAAGAGAAGTCATCAAGACATATGAGGGCAGTTTGAGAAATATGAGTCAATTCAGCTAGAGTCATATTTTAACCAACTCCATGTGAAATAAAGATGGAGATACTGAACATAAGCTCAAGGTTTTCTATGTAGGAAATGGGATGAAAAAGAACAAGAATTTGGGTGAAATGGTGCTGATTCTTTGGAGAAAAAGGGCAATGAGAATATGGATATATTCTAAGATAGAAGAGAGTATAAAATTAAGGGATTCAACTTAATATGAGCTCTAGGTTCCCATCCTCCTTATTCACCAAGTGACAATAAATGAGATTTTCTCACCAGGCAAGTACTAGCCTAATTCAGAAGGCATGTTCCTAAATGGGTTTGTGTTCATAGAGTTCAGGATATTACTTCACCTCCCTTAGAATTCATTTTCCGTGTGCTCCTAAAAGGGAAGTGTGCAGATACATGCAGGAAAACATCAGACAGGGCAGGTTTGGGGTTATAGTTCTCCATACTTCAACCTCAGTGAGGCAGAAAAAAAGGAAGTGAGTGGATCTGAGAATGTGAATTTGTTTATAGTCCTCCTATCTACATTGTAAATTTTTTTCTGGTTGTAAAAGTAGCATCTGTTTACTTTAGAATATTTATTGTAACTATTGATTAAGGAAAATACAAAATAAAAATCACATATAATTCCTCTCTCAAGAGATGGCCCCTTAGAGTAAAAAGTTTGTTGTATATCACTACCTTTTTCTAAGTATGAATCAGGAAATGTTTGCAACAAAATTATGATCATGTTATGTATAACTCTTTCAGGGAACTTTTATTTAACAATGTATGAGAAACACCTTTCTACATGATTAAATATTTTCCTTCACAATTTTGACTTCTAATGGTTTTACAATAGTTAATTACATCAACTAACTATAATTTACTTAGCTAATTCACTACCATGAGACAACTAGGATTTTTTAATTTTCAGTATTATATGCATTGTTACATTGAACATTCCTGTGGTGAAATTTTGTGTGCATTCTCAATTCATTCCATGTGAAAAACTCTTAAAAGTAGGATTTCTGGATCAAAAAATTTGGGTAAATTTTTAGGAGATATATATTATGTATAATATGTAATATAAAATACAGTATATTAATATACTATAGATTATTTAATATATTATTATTGTATTATACAAATGGCATATGTATTTGTGTGTGTATATACATAAATGGAGACTTCTACATAAATAGCCCATTTCTTACACACTCACAAGTATTTAATATTACTTTTTTTTTGTACCAAAGATTGAACCCAGGGGCACTTAACCACTGAGCCACATCCCCAGCCCTTGCTATATTTTATTTAGAGACAGGGTCTCTCTGAGTTGCTTAGGACCTTGCTAAGTTGCTGAGGCTGGCTTTGAACTCGCCTCAGGCTCCTGAGCTGCTGGGATTACAGACATGTACCACTGTGGCCAGCACTATTTATTTTTGTTTTCATTTCTTCTGAGTTGAGATTTTTCTTCAGGTTTATTGACCATTTGTGTTTCTTCTTTGCTAAATTATCTATAAATTCATACCCTTTGCCTGTCTCTTGCAATCGCTCTTTCATTCTCTTACACTGGGAATCAAAGCCAGGGCCTTGCACATGCTAAGCACAAGCTCTACCACTGAACTACATTCTCAGCCTCCTCTTTGCCTTTCTTTCTAATGATATGTTTGTTCATTTTAATCTTGTTGATCTCCAAACATTTCTCCATTTTAAAAAAAATGATTACCATAACCTCAAGAGAAAACCCATCCCAAACTCTCAGATATTTGGCTGCAATGTTCTAGCTAGACCAGCATGAGCATTGTAGCCCTGCTCCTCACGAAGGACTGGAAGATGATCAAATGATAGATGGGCTTCCAAATTCAGCTAGGTATGCTGAAGACCTATGACTGGTAGTTGAATAACACCTTTCCTTGTTTCCTTTATATTTGGCAAAAATTCTAGTGACAAATGAGAGGATTCATATACTGAACCATCAATCTTTGAAAGTTTGAATGTTTCCTATACCCATTTTCTCATGCATTCCATGTTGACTTTTACCTCCTGACTTAAAAGTTGAGGAAAGCTAGGAAATTGAGTAAGCCTAGTTGGCATACATTTCCTACTGAAAATACGATTATGTGAACCCCTGAGTGATTCCATCAATGAGGAGGATCTACCAGGATCAAGTTGATCAGTACTGTGTATGAGGGTGGGTACTTTTAGTGGCAGTAGTTTAGAAAGATTTAGAAGGCCCAAAAGAATGTGCTTGGACTGGTGTTGTGGCTCAGTGGTAGAGCACTTGCCTATCATGTATGAGGCACTGGGTTCCATTCTCAGCACCACATATAAATAAATTAATTAATTAAATAAAATTATTGTTTTCATCTAAAGCTAAAATATATTTTTAAAAAAAGAATGTGGTTTTCCCAAGGGTTGCCAGTTGTTTGATAAGATCAAAGCAAGCCTGTAAAGGAAACAATAGATAATAGGACTAAAAAGAGAATTATCAACTATGCTATGACTATCCTGAGAGTTTTGGGAAGATGCTGGATGGTTTAAATGTGTGGTGAAAAGCTGTAGGGTGAAGAAGAGAGAAAAGAGGCAAGAAATGTTTAGAAAGGCATGTCTACATATGAAGGAAGAGGGCATCTCATTCTAATTCCAGTGCCATCTCCTTCCCCTACACACCCATCCTCTTCTCCATGTGGAGAAGCTTGAGAGATTGACCTTTCTGCTTCCTTCCAGCTCTAAGAAGCTATGATCCTGCTTGTCAAACTTTTAACACAACGAGGAACCTGGCAAGCCACCTCAATCATGCCCATGATCTCATTGCAGAGGGAAGATTGGAAAGCTGTCACAGTTTTGAGGTTTTCCAAATTCCAGGATATTAATATTGTAGTGACCAAAAAGAAAGACCTGTTTTCTCACTTGAGTTCTTCTATTCAATAAAGTAGGTGCTCAATATTGTAAGAATATACATTTTTCTCACTTGATGCAATAAATGTATTACTATTTTGAATAAGGGAGAAGTGAGGCCTGGGAACCTGTTAGTTTGTCTCAATTCATCCTCACGGAGTGACCTGAGCCATTGCTGACCTTGCACAGGCATTTATTGAAGGTGATCTAGTCCCACAGGGCAGGCAGGAAATCACCCAACTGGATGAACAGGAGCCCTGAGATCTGCCTCCCTCTACCACTGGGGTGCTTGTGTCTCATAAGGGTGTGTTACTATTATTGTGACTGAAAAAGTCCAATTCTGTTGCTGCTTAATAAAGTCAATGACTCAAGAGACAGAGTGTCAAGAGAAGAAAGAGCCTTATTTGGTGGTCAAAAGATGGAGAAGAGGGAGCTCTGCTCACAAAACATCTTCTCAACTCTAGGGAATTGAAGGGTTATAAATATAGAATGAGAATAATGAGGGAGGGAGAGAGATTAATAAAGGGGAGGAATAATCA